TCTCCTAGACTCAGATGGCGTTCGGGATCGCTTCTGAATGCCATTCGGGTCTGGGAGCCATATACATATATTACTAAAGCTGAGGCTCCCAGACCCGAATGGCATTTGGGAGATCCCACATGCCATTCGGATTCCGAATGTCATTCGGGTCTAGGAGCCTCAGCTGGGTCTGGGAGCCTCAGCTTTAGTATTATATGTATATACTGTATATGGCTCCCATGTCCGATTCAGTTTAGTTTTTGAACGAAATTTGTACAGGATCTGAAATTCGGAAACGGAAATTCGAATTTGGACACATTCGGATGCATTGGGATTCGGAAATTCCGAATGTCCGAATTCCGGACAATTCCTTCAAATTTTGATTCGGAATGAAACGAATCGCACAAGTCTAATAGATAGATAAGTTGACAAGATTTTTCTTGGTGGGGGATCAAGTACCTTTTTCTGGAGCCACTTCCTCATTGACGTAGCCCTCAGTCAAGCTGAACCCCCGCCCACACTGCATTTGCAGCCTCCTTGGATACACGTCACACATCCCAGGACATCAGGACAGTCTGCCCCAGTAGGCGGATTGTGCATATGCGGTAGGGGGCCAGGTGTGAGTGATAAGGAAGTGAAATCCATCTCCCGAATGGCAGCGCGGAAGATCGGAAGCCCCGCAAAGTATCAGAGACTGAACAGAATTACAAATCACTTCGCAGATAGGACAATTCACATATGTTTATTTTAACAATGAAACAATGTATTTAGCCCAGATTTTAGTTTAAAGAAGAAAGAACTGAACATATAAAATCAAACACTTCAGAAATGTATATATGACGCAGCATCTGAGAAAGGACCTGTCATGCAGTAGGCATACACTTTATACTGTACGACTGCAAAGCAAACTGCTTAGGGGAGCCTAGGGGAACAGATGTTGCATAGCTACCATGCCAGATTTCAATTATGTGCCCTCCAGGCCATATGCTGCCCGCTGCGACCACAGATCTTTGTAGCCGCACAGTTCCTGCAGCTAAATTATAAAATAATATATTTGATACGAGATAAAATCCTGGTTTTCCAATAGATTTTCCTTAAAAGGAAGGAACAACAGTTCTTAGCCAGTTTTATTTCAGCATTTATTTTGTAACTACTCAAGTATACATTTGTATAAATGTTTATTTTACAAAAAAACATTTAACACGTTTAATAAAATAGAAAAACATAAAAAAATTAAATACAAAACCTGCTTTATGATATTTTTTAATATATTGATATAAAACCTTTACTTTGCGTTAAGCATTTTATAAAAGGTGCTTCAATGGCATTCAGTTTGCAAAGAATACTGGGCTTTCCAATAAGAAAGCTTACACTACTTGCATAGTTATAGGCAGCAGGTTTATAACCATATGGATGTGTCTCTCATCTGGTTATTTAGGTTATTATTATGTGTATAATGATCTCTCTTGCATTTCAAGTCTGTTTCAGGTGTGAAAAAAAGCTTATGCTCTATTTTGGATTTCTATTTGACCAATTGTGGCCTGAAAGTGGTAGATTGAAAATAAAAAATTAACCACGACAGTAGAAGTGATTTTTTTTCTGAAGATATGGGTCAACAATGCGATTTAACAGCCTTTGAACGTGGGATGATTGTTGGCACTCAAACCATGGAGCGAGTTGTTGTTAAAGTGTTTAACCACCTGCTGTCCGGCCGCCGTTGTAATTAAACGGCCGGACAGCGGCTTCTTAAGGGCGGGTGGGCGTTTTTAAACGACCCATCCCGTCCTGCTCGTGCTCGCCGCCAGGCAGCGGGCACGAGCGGGAAACCGGCTTTGAATGTAAACAGCCAGCGATGGCTGTTTCCATGCAAGCGTTCAGGCGTCTGTAGAGACGCCCGATCGCTTGTAATATCCGGTCGGGTGTGCGGGCCCCCCTCTCCGTCGCCGCCGCTGCTGGCGATCCCGGGCTCCGCTGTTCCCGGTGTGAGCCCGGGACCAACACAGCAGCTCTGTGGCCGGAGATCAAACGGAGCTCAGTACACGAGCTCCGTTTGATCTCCTTCTCCTCTTCGGAATGCAGGCAGTGATGTGTATTACATCACTGCCTGCATTCAGTGTCACTCTCGGGTACAGAAACCGGAGAGAAGCTGGTGAAGCAGGTCTCTACTTCATCAGCTTCTCTGGGGGTCCCAAGGTGACAGGGGTCTTAAAGACCCCTGATATCTCCATAAAGACGACCTGTCACTGCAAATTGGCTATCACATAGGGAGCTTGTTTGCTCCCTATGTGATAGCAATAAAGTTCAGTGAAAAAAAAAAAGGTTTAAAAAATGTAAGTTTCAAAAAAAATTTTTAAAATTAAAAATCACATATCAAAGCAATAAAAAATAAAGTCCCCCGCCCCCAACATACACATGCAAACATGCGTCAAGCCCGCCACGTGCGAAAACGCAGATTACATCCATTGTGCCGCACATGTTACATATCGCCACGAACGTCGGAGTGAGAGCAATAATTTTAGGGCCATCAATCACTGATAATACTAAACTGATGAGCGGTAAAAGCTTTTCAAGCGTCGGCTATGGTCAATTTTGAGTATGGTCGTTTTTGGGATTTAACGGGTGCGCGCAATTTTAAAGCTTGACATGTTTGGTGTCTAATTTACCCGACGTGACCCCATCTTTTATATGTTACCAAAAAATTGGGTAATAATAAATGTTTTATAACATAACGTAGGGAGAACAGGTTTTTTTTTCAAAATCTTCGGTACATTTTTTAATATATAGTAAAAAATAAAACCCCCAGTGGTGATTAAATACCCCCAAAAGAAAGCTCTATCTGTCCGCAAAAAATGGTATAAAATTCATTTCAGTACAGCGTTGCATGACGGAATAAATGTCAGTCAAAGTAGCGCAGGCGCTAAACACTGAAAAATGGCCTGGACAGGAAGGGGGTATAAACACCCCGGTCAGCAAGTGGTTAAAGAACAGATAAAGCTGTAGGATAAGGGATGAGTCGCTGCTCGGACTTATTCAATTGTGTGTGTATAAATTTCAGCTAAAGCATTTGAATTCTGTGAACAACAATCTTTTTGAAACAAAGGAGCAAAAAAGATACAGGAAAACATTAAAAAATGAGCTTAATATAAATGTTTTTATTTTTTATCCTGAGCATAGCAAGAAAATATGTAAAAAAAACCTCAACGAACTATGCATTCCTTGTATAACTTATATCAGAAAGACGTGAAATCTTGATCCCTATATCTTGATCCCTATATCTTGCTACACTAGACTCTGAACCATTGCGTGTTCCTGTATACTAGGGCCAATTGATTATTTAATTTCTTTGTATATTGGTGGTATTGAATGTCATGAGCTTTTTCCTTTTCATTCATCTGAATGTGAATTGTTTTCTATTATTAATATGAAAGCTGTTTTCATGATCACTGTACACTGGAAGATAGAAAGTGTCTTTGAAGTCTTCAGCAAACAATCTAAATCCAGTTGACATTTTTATAAGGTGGAAGTTTCTATGGAAATGGTCACTGCAAGCAATACTTCCACCTCTACCACAGTTCAACATCACATTTAAAACCGAGATGATAGGAGGTATTGCCAACAGCCTATGACATACCCAGCAAATTTGACAGCTGGAGCAGATTATTTTTCTACAATAACCTTGCTCAATATTATTGCTAAACCCTGCTCAAAATGATTTCCAATAATAGCTATAAAAACATATGAATAATATTGTCCAGTAAAGAAATGCAGACAGTGCATTGGTCAGGAATATGTCATGTACAGCACAACGTACAAAGTGCATACTCCAGGCATACTCCTAGCCGCTGAATTGTGCAAAATAGTCAGTATAGTGCCCTCTTACATTGGTGGTCAGGGTAGTGCCCCATTACATTGGTGGTTAGTGAAGAAAGGCCCTCTTACATTGGTGGTCTTGGTAGTGCCCCATTACATTGGGGGTCAGTGAAGAAAGGCCCTCTTACATTGGTGGTCAGTGAAGAAACCCCCCCTGCCCGAGATTGGCGGTCAGTGGAGAAGTGCACACTTATGTTGGTGTTAATTGTAGTGCTCCCTTATATTGGTGGTTAGTGGAGATATGCCTCCTTACTTTGGTGGCCAGTGTAGTCCCCTGTTACATTGGTGGTCAGTGAAGAAAGGCCCTCTTACATTGGTGGTCAGTGAAGAAGCCCCCCCCTGCCCGAGATTGGCGGTCAGTGGAGAAGTGCACACTTATGTTGGTGTTGATTGTAGTGCTCCCTTACATTGGTGGTTATTGGAGATATGCCTCCTTACTTTGGTGGCCAGTGTAGTGCCCCATTACCTTGGTGGTCAGTGGAAAAAGACCTTCTTACATTGGTGGACAGTAAAGAAGTCCCCCCTTAGATTGATGATCAATGTAGAAATGTTTCTTTGCATTGGTGATCAGTGAATAGGTGTCTATGGACATTGGTGATCACTGGAGATATGCCCCCGTAGATTGGCGGTCAGTGTAGTGCCCCATTACATTGATGGTCATTGGATAAAGGCCCTCTTAGATTGGTGGACAGTAAAGTGCCCCTGTAGATTGATGGTCAATAAAGAAATGTCTCTTTATATTGGTGGTCAGTGAATAAGTGTCTACAGATAGTTGTGGTCACAAGATAGTTGCCCCCTTACATTGCTGATCATTGGAAAGGTGACCTTGTCTGGGTTTTGCCCAGTCTCTGCAGTCCATGCACCCCCCCAACTGTCTGAACGCACAGCACTCCCACCACCCTGCCCTTAATCCTACATTGCCAACTGCCTTTTGTTATTTTCTTTCCCACACTGGAGAGATAATATTATTTGTAGTGGACAACAGAGATACTTCACATTCCAGTTGATAACATTCAGACCTTCTAGCTGTTACCTCCTGTGACTGGAAGCTTTGGAACTACAGTAATGCTTTTAATGTCCACCATGCATTTTCTTTGTTTTGATTTTTGTCCAAAGTGACATCTCACTAGCTGCTTATGTTTGAATTACAGGCACATGCCAAGTCTGCTGGAATATTTAAGTTACTGCTGTAATTTCCTGGGCATCCTGGCAGGCCCATTATGCTCTTATAAAGACTATATTACTTTCATTGAAGGCACATCATATCATCTGAAAGAGGCGGAGGTCAATGGGAAAGATGACATAAAATATGAACAGAAAGAACCATCTCCCAATGTAAGTGTCACCCTGCTTTTCTGTTTATTGTGCCCTTGCATGAACTATGTGGAATGCTTTTAGTTAGCAGACTAATCTGCAAAATCATTAGTTTTGCTGGTTTAAAGGCCAGTCCCCATGGGAAATAGACAATACAGTTTGAAGCGAGTTCCAGTGTGTTGATGTGATTTGTACATCTCCTTAAGACTTCAGTGGTGGAATATCCCAGTAGTAATTTGTTATTCTGCCTCAACCATCAAGGCCATTAGGAAGGTTTCAGACAGATTTTAACCATCATTTGGCGTTGCAATGGCTGTGACAGGATGGACATGGAAGTCTGATGGGAATTACATACCTCTATGGGTGCAGTGGTGTTCTATAGCTCGTCTTACCTGCCTCAATGGTGAGTTGGGCTGGCATCACTCTTGGACCTTTTGGCTATTCACAATTTTAGTGCTGCAGTAAATCACAATCATTCTATTTGTATTGCAAAAGGATGTCCGTTCATTAAATTCAATCTCTCTCTCTCACCTTTCTTAAATTACCTCCACTTCCAGACCTTTGAGTGTCCAGTTACTTTGTTCTTTTTCAAGAAGAACTTCAGGCAATCGAAAAACATAAACCCTTGCAGTGGGCTACCCCTGCACTGCAAGGGTTAACTGCTTGTTTTGGTCTAGGGGCTAAAATAAAGAAGACATACTCACGTGGTCCTTGGCCCCACTTGGCTGCCAGACCGATCCCCACAGCCTCTTCTCCCGGACCAGAGCAGAGGGGGAGAGAGGTGAACCGTCATCACCGCAGGACCAAGGATCAGGTGAAAAATATTGTAGCCCCTAGACCAAAACGCGCTCCACTGCAAGGGTTAATGTTTCAATCGCCCGGAGCTCTTCTTTAAATGTTCTAAAGCCCAGGCAACACCAAGGTGGTATTCTAATTTTTATACTCTCAATCTGACTCCCTCTCTCTCCCTCTCTAATGCCTCATTCCCCTCTCTCCCTCTCTCTATATCTATTCAATGAATCCATACGGTTACTCTTTTATGTATTATAAGTTGCACTGAAGGTATTGCTAAATGAATGGAAAAGTAGCTAAAGTGCAAAAATCTCTCTAGTTCATTCGAGGTAAACAACACTAACCATGAAATGGTTAGCCATTATGATTTAGACTAATTATGGAGGGAATATAAAATTGCCTGTAATTTGGCAGCATTATAGTGCTTGTAGCCATTTTAGAGATCCTGCTGTATAGAGACTCGGAGGTTCTACATTAGAACCATTGCTGCTGATTTTGTACACCTTTTTTTACAGGAGACACAACATGTAAAATGCTACATGCTGTCTTACTTTCAAGTTCACTTCTCTGTTTAGTTGGAACTATCTTCAAAGCTCTCCTGTGCCATAAAATATAGATGATAGAATATGTTTTGCATGATTATATGTATTATACTGTGAGAGCGTTTTACATTTTATCACCGTTAATATTTGCATATAGTTCATTTTCTCTCTTAGATGCTCCTAAATATCTCTTTATTATTCTTTTTAAAAGCAGCAGGTTTTCAGGCAACAGTGAATGTTTAAAGTTCCTTGTGGAGGATAGGCCTTGGTGCACAGTAAATCACATGCCTATTTTAGGAGTTATTTTTGTGACCAGTGAACTCATATGCCTGGAAACCCATTTGGAAGATTTGTGCAACTTGTGATCACTGCCAATGCTTATTTTCCTTCTAAAGGTGGCCATACACTGTACAACCCTTGCAAGACTTTTGTCTTGCCATGGTTGTAAAGTAATTAAAAAAACATACGATCTGCCCATCATCGACAGGCTGATCGTATTTGCGATCATTGCAAGCCTGCACTGCTGAGGGGCGGGCTTCTGATGACTGCAATGCTGCACGTGCGCACACTGGCCCGTTCGACAGTTGTCGAACAAGCACGCCACTAACCCGCCGAGAATCGTACGAATCGTACCCGCCGAGAATCGTGCTTGTTCGACGGAAGACGTGTGATCGTACAGTAGAAACGGTCGCACGCCTTCCATAAACTTTGCGATTATCGTACGATCGCGGGATTTCCCGTGATTATCGTACGATAATTGTACAGTGTATGGGCACCTTTTAGACACAAGGTTCTAGTCCTGATTAGGCCAGGGGCAAGTTTTTGAACAAACCTGTACTTTACTCATTGAATTGAAGGCACCCTCCAGTGCTTATATTTACCTTTCAGGGACCCCCTCACCATTCCATTTGCCCTCTGGACCACCCAAGAGGGTACACATAGTTACGGGCTTTCTTCTCCCTGACAGCATTTAGACATGGCGATTGTCCACTTAGGCCCCCAGCCGGCAATAATCAGGGTGGCTGAAGTGTGAGTGAAAAGTAAATGGAAGGTGTCTGCTATCCAGTAATCTAGGGCAGACTACAGGATCTCTTTAATGACCAGTTCACCCCATACTGCGTTGCATGTGCTGCAATCCACTATATTGCAAGGTTACTGCAGCCCATACATTTTAAGTGAGTCCCAATGCAGAAGAAGAAAATTCCTGCAGTTTTTTTCTTTTTTAAACTATTGCATCTCCTTGTGTATGTCTGTTGGTGCTATTTAGAATGAACGGCAACACAGATACATATGGTTTCGTAGTGTGCTGCAGTAAAGTGTACTAATTCTTAACAGGACCTAAACTGTGTGGCCATAATGTGCTGACAGTAGGAGGAGCTTAATGGGGCACTGCTGACTAGACCCTGAGATTACTGTATACACCTCTGCATTCTATGTTCACTTCTCACCACTGCACCCCATGTCTACCGTTCACCCCAAAACCCCTTGTTCACTCCTCACATCTGCATCCTATGTTCACTCCTGACCTCTGCACACTTTGTTCACTCCTCACATATGCATTCCGTGTTCACTGCAACCTCTGCATCCAATGTTTACTCTTCACCTCTGCATCCAATGTTTACTCTTCACCTCGGCATCCCATACAGGGCCGGATTTCCCACAAGGCCAACCAAGGCCCGGCCTCTGGGCAGCAGGGAGTAGAGGGGCAGCAGGGGTGTGGAATTCCTATCTCCCGATGCCCGGGACATGCAGTTCCAGGCGCCGGGCGAGTAAATGTTTTCTACATTTAGCCCTGCTTTGGGCAAGCAGAGCTAAATGTACAGCGGAGAAGCCATCACTTGTTTTTTACAAAATATAGACGATGGTTTTCGATCTGGGTCCGAATAGTAGGTGCCACACCCCTAAAATTTATATTCGACAAGGACAGAAAGTGGGGTTTTGAGAGCACCAAAGGAACTTACTCCACAAAGAAAATCATATAAAAGAGTTCATTTTAATTACATTCATTAAAAACAAAGACTAGATATACAATCCAAATTAAAATCAGCTAATTAGATAGCTCCCTGTGTGCTCTCTCCATATGTACCCTTCCTACAGCATGATTAAATCATAACAAGATAAGTGCATAGTTTAGGAAACAATCTGATAATACAGACGATCAAGGATAAGGGATAACAATTCCTTAGAAGCTTAAATGCTGTATAGAGTTGGTGGAGGTTCATAAATGGAGGAGCTGATACGACGTTTCGCGCACCCAGGCGCTTCTTCAGGTACAGGAGGTATCTATTTATGTGCTCTGGTGTGTATACGTGTCTGGGCGGGTCTGGTCGAGCTACGCCCCTGCGTAGTCCCCCCTAAAAATAGGAGGGGTACTATGTCGGTCAATTCCCAATATTGAGTTTTAGGGGTAAGAGAAAGGAAGGAAGAGACAACAAAAACGAGGTGTTTGAGTCAATCAGGCTGATGGCCACACAGTTTGAGGAGACGAAGAGACAGAAAAGGTATGGATAGAGCATAGGTCTCTGTCTGCTTGTCTTCCAAAATTAGGTCCTCCGATTACCCCTACGCCACCCACATCTACTACCGCTGCCTACCTGCCGCAGACTTGTTTTTTACAAGTGATCCCGGCGATGTTGCCGAGATCACTTGTATGCAGCCTGCAGGTCTGCCATTCTCCATGGGTGTTGGTGGGTAGGGGGGCACATTGAGGAACCTTGCCTTGGGGCAGCAGAGAAAGTAAATCCGGCCCTGACCCCATGTCTACCATTCACCTCTGCATCCCATGTTCATTCCATGTCTCTGAACCCCTTGTCCACCCCTCACCTCTGCATCCCATGTCCACCCCTCACCTCTGCATCCCATGTCCACCCTTCACCTCTGCATCCCATGTCCACTCCTCACCTCTGCATCCCACGTCCACCCCTCACCTCTGCATCCCACATCTACCCCTCACCTCTGCAACCCATGCCCACCACTCAACTCTGCATCTCATGCTCACAACTCATCTCTGAATCCCATGTCCATTGCTCATCTCTGAATCCCATGTCCATTGCTCATCTTTGCACCCTATGTCCACCCCTCTCCTCAGCCTCCCATGTTCACCCCCAAATCTGCATCCCATGTCCACTCCACTGATCACCTTTGCACATTTGTCCACCCCTCACCTCTGTATCCAATGTCCACCGCTCACCTCATGCTCACTCCTCACCTCTGAACCCATTGTTCACTTGTCACATCTTCACTCCATGTTCACTGCTTACCTCTGCATCCCATGCCCACCTAATTAGGGGCATGTTTTTAAGCAAACTTGTGCCTTAATTATACAGGTTCACTGAATAGAAGGCCCCCAACAGTGCTTATATTTACCTTTCAGCAACTTTGTTGCTATGTTCATTGGTCACTTCTGCACTCCATGTCCACCACAACTACTGCCAAAGGGTAGGGTTAGTTGGTGTACGAAGAGGGACTTAATTTAAACAGAATGAAAACTTTTAAAATTAATATTTAACACTTTACTAAGGAATAAACAATAAACAAAGCAGCTCCTTTGTTCCATACACATCCTTGCACATTTCTTTTACAGCTGCCCAGTAAATACAGAGAGCCCTCTATGATACCTCCAGAGTTTTGGATCCAGATGTGACACACATTATCTTAGCTCTGGAAATAAACATCTTTTATAGCTCT